CAATTTTCGATTTGCAACCCCCCCTCAAATTTTCGATTTGCACCCCCCCCCCCCAAACTTTCTATTTGCACACCCCCCCCCTCCTCAAGTTTTTCTCTATATATTTTGTTATTTTTCGCCTTGGTGTCACCCCCCTAAATGGTGTCACCCGGTGCGGTCCGCACCCCCCCCCCCCCCCTTCGCTACGCCTCTGCCCGTGACTATGTTCTCCTCGGCCTGATTTTTCTCACTGGATTTTCTTCCGCAGCCATTGTTCACCCAAGAAAAAACTACAAGCCAGCAGTTCTTTGATTTTGGAGTTGTCTCTCCTAGATGCTGTCCCCTGATCCCGGCCTTCATCTGCCATTGGGACTTTTGGAAATAGATAGCAATCATATGCTCTGCCGTCTAACTACGCAGAGTTTCTTTCAGGCATCTTTCCCTCGAAGAAAAGTCTACCGTACCCTCTCCCTCCGAACGAAATTGAATTTATATAGAAAATATTTACTTTTAACAGTTTCCACCCCCCCCCCCACCCAAATTTTCAAGTGCCCCCCACAACATTATACAACAAAATAAACCAATATATTTCCACATCTTGTTGTATAACATTTGTATATATACAAATCTAAAAAAAAATTAAAGATAAAAACAAAGAAACAATTAATTACTACTCAAAGGAGTATGATACTTCATAAAGATACCGCCTTAGTTTCTTTCTATTTATATATTTTAAAAACAACTTACATGGTATAATGACAATGTTAGTCACTAAATCCAGTCCAGCTATACACTGGATCAACAAACTGGTAGTCGTCTTCTGACCTTTCTTCCAATACACAAACAAGATGAGGGTGTTGCCACAGATACCCAAGACGAATAACAAAACGAGAAATATAAACGTTGGTATATAGATCACGTTGTATTGATATTGTAAGGTGGATAATAGTGTAGCGTTTGACATTGCTGGAACAGCGAGTAACGGTTGACAGGTGACCGTCTGATTGAATTTACACTTACAGGACTAGACTGCTTGAATTAAAAAAACAACAAAGCAAGTGAATTTTTTAAAATAAAAAATATAACGCTGAGCTTTCGGCCTTAACTACGCGAGCACTTCCTAGAGAACTCCTCCACATAATTTTTTTTTGTTACATTAAACAGTACATAACCCCACTGGTTACACTTCAATGGGTCCAAAGTTCAGCCATCCTCTACAGTTAGTTACTCAGTTACGCTTTCATAACATAAAACTACGCTCTCGCTTATTCTTTATCCTTCCCGTTTTTTTAATATCTTTGAAAAACAGGCCATGATCTTCGAACATTGAACAATGCCCTTCCTTGAAGTCGAGGAGCATTTTTTTTAAATAAAAAAAAAACAAACAAGTGTTTGAACTTGATTTGATAATTTTTTAAAGCTGATTAGTGTTCAGTTTTTAAATCGGTGGTGTGGTGAGTTATAATACTATTCAGCTGCTGAGCGATACATTTCTGGCGAACTTTTGGGGCACAGAGGCGCAGTGTTTCTTCCAGACTTTTTTCTCCGGGGGGGGGGGGGCACTTGAAATTTTCGGGGGGGGGGGGGGGGGTGGCGGATACTGTTAAAAGTATATATTTTCTATATAAATTATATAAATTTAATTTCGTTCGGGGGGGGGGGGGGGCGGTAGATTTTTTTCGGGGGAGGGGGGGGGGGGCAGTGTTTCTTCCAGACTTTTTTCTCCGGGGGGGGCACTTGAAATTTTCGGGGGGGGGGGGGCGGTAGACTTTCTTCGGGGGGGGGGGGGGGCGGACACTGTTAAAAGTATATATTTTTCTATATAAATTACATAAATTTAATTTCGTTCGGGGGGGGGGGGGGGGGGGCGGTAAAAAAAATTTCGGGGGGGGGGGCAAAGCCCCCCCCCCCCCGAAGAGATGCCTGAAAGAAACTCTGCAGAGGCACAGCAACCCATTCCGGCGCCCTATTCGATGTATCAATTTTACACCCCCCCCCCTCCAATTTATACACATATTTTTTCACGATTACAACCACCCCTTTACTCCCACCCCAGCTAATTTTAAAGGATAATGTAACAAAAAAATTATGTGGAGGAGTTCTCTAGGAAGTGCTCGCGTAGTTGAGGTCTAAACCTCAGCGTTGTTTTTTTTTTTTTTTTTTTTTTTTTTTTTTGTTCTTTTTTTTGTAAATTTCACTTGTTTTGTTGTTTTTTAGTTCAAGCAGTCTAGTCTTGTGTCCGTTTACAACCACCCCTTTACCCCCACCCCAGCTAATTTTAAAGGATAAGGGCGCACATTTTAAAGTTTTTAATTTAGATTCACACAATTGATACAGAAACATTTTAAATCAGTCAAGTAGTAGTCCATTTTCTGAACTTTGCATAGGCCTAATTAAGTAATGCAGCTTAGACTTTTTTTCTACCACATTTTGCGCCCATCCTCCCTCACCTAGGGACCATTTCAGGGGCGGCCGCCCCACCCACATTACCCTGTTAACACCAGTGGAATAAGACCGAATTTTGATGATTTTTACACAGTGAAAAATGAGCCTAATACTTATAGTTATAGTTTAAACCATCAACTCTAGCGACGCCATTGATTTTAATTAATTGAGTCATGGGGTGGGGGTGGTGGTTTCAAATCAGAGGAAAGTTATAGTTCTCATAAAAAACATTTCTTTGATTTAGAGTTTTTACTTTCTCCTTAGGTAGTTTAATTTTTTATGCAAACCCGGTCAAGTTTAGAGGAAGTTCATTACAAAAGGGTTACTTATTGTCTTGAAGCAGTGGTTATTATATTATAATTTCCGGGAAAGAGTATGCCTGTCGTTGGGTTTGAAGTAGAACTGTTTTTTTTTTAATCGAGGGGATCTCATTTGACATTTAGAGCTATTAATAAATAATTAAAATTACGGAATGCCTAAATATTAAATAAACTCAATGTTTTTTTTGACTAGGCCTAAGTTAATATAATGTATTAGGCCAAAATAGATCTAGGTCGAATTATAACTTATTTAGGGGCCTATCTGTTTATTTATTTTTTAAAATAGTTAAATAAATAGGCACTAGTTGTAAAAAAAGTGAAGTTCCATTTCAAACCTGACGGTCTAGGGCCTAGGGGCAAGTGAACTAGTTTACTTGTTTCTGTTACCTGAGGAGAACGTAGTCACGGGCTATATGTTTCTGCATATGAAGGGATAGTGTGGTCAGCACTATGCCCAGCCGCCTTTACTTATCCTAACGTGAGTTAGGTACCCATCAGAGCAGGACGCCTTCGTAAATAAAGCCCGGTCATTTCCCTTGCCACCCCCGACAATATTCTCAAGATGAATAGGGCCATGTATTCATCATTTTCCTCCGATTTTACAAAAGATACAGAAGGCAGATGAAATAGAGTTCTTCTATTTCACTGACCCGGCATACATGGGGATAGTGGAGTCAGCACTATGCCCAGGGGATTTTGATACTCCTATTTTAGTAAGGTACCCATCAGTGTTTCTTCCAGACTTTTTTTCCGGGGGGCACTTTAAATTTTCGGGGGGGGGGGGGGGGGGGGGGGGGCGGGCGGTAGACTTTCTTCGGGGGGGGGGGGGGGGGGGGGCGGACACTGTTAAAAGTATATATTTTCTATATAAATTATATAAATTTCATTTCGGGCGGTTAAAAATTTTCGGGGGGGGGGGGGGGGGGGCGAAGAGATGCCTGGAAGAAACTCTGGTACCCATTAGAGCTGGGTAGACCCTTAGACGTTCTTCAAACTCGAACATGGGAGTCGAGACTTTCTAATTATCAGTTGTAAGCTCTAGCAACCAACCAAGGCGTCCTTCCCTGTCATTTACTCCCTATATATTAACCCCTTTCCCCCGCCCTAAATAAAATAATTACCTATGTAATGTACAAAGCTGTTTTAAAAGGTTTTTTTTTACATTTAATAATTTAATAAAAACAAATTAATCGAAACTTTTAAAATATTCGCGGAAGTCACACGAGAAAAACTGTAGTCATATGATTTCAAGGGAAGCTACTCTCAAACATATCCCAAATGTTGTGTTTATTATAGGATTCATAAGAAATTATAAATTAAGTTCTTTTGTTTTAATTAATATCGGAACAGCAAGATAAACGAAATAGAATGTCGTCAGGGGAATCCAGTCATTTAATTGAAGATTTGGAAAGGCTGAGTAGTGGTAATTATTTTTATCGTCCTACATTTCTTTGATTTCTAGAACATCTCACAACTGCCAAGCCAAGGGCAACTGTTTTTTTTTTAATCGAGGGGGATCTCATTTGACATTTATTAATAAATAATAAATAATTAAAATTACGGAAGGCCTGAATAAACTCAATATTTATTTGACTAGGCCTAAGTTTATACAATGTTTGAATCTAGGTCTAAAGTTTAATTATAATATTTAGGGGCCAATCTGTTATTTAATTTAAAAGGCACTAGATCTAGAATAATAGAATTAGATCTAGAGCTAGTTGTAAAAAAAGTGAAGTTCCATTTCAAACCTGACTGTCTAGGGCCTAGGGGCAAGTGAAGTAGTTCACTTGTTTCTGTGACCTCTGTATATGAAGGGATAGTGGTGTCAGCAATATGCCCAGCCGCCTTTACTTACCCTAACTTGAGTTAGGCACCTATCATCAGAGCTGACTTGGACCCGAATTTGAACTTGAGACCAACGGGTTAGCAGTTCAGCTCTCTACCCCTAGGACACTCAGTCCCATAGTTGTAGGCCCTAGTTAAAACCTTTAAATTTAAAGTTTAATTAAACGCTACCGTTGAAACCAACCAGCATTCAACATTTCTAATTCCCAATTTCTCTAAATAAATAGTTTGTTTGGGTGAGACAATACTTAGGCCTAATAATTTATATTTTGTACCTTGTTGAATAAATGGTTACCTCGATATCAAAAATTTCAACCAGCTTTTTCTTTGTTGGCAATATTTTATGATACCATTAATAATTAATTTATGCAATTCTTCATCAGCTGGTCAAATACCCACATCAAAACTACAGGAACATGCAGAAGTTGTACGCAGAAACAATGTGAATTGGAAGAGCTACCTCCAGTAAGATATTCTGAAATCTACTTGCCTGACAGCTAATTTTAGTTGTTTAATTAATGGGTTGTCCATTTATTTGATGATTGTCAGTGGCTGGAGGTGGGGTTAGGTTAGAAAAAGTCCTTGTGGATGTCCACTCCAGTCAAGTGTTTATCATAAACTGAGCACCAAGTATCTTCATATATTTCTGCACTCTACTGCTAAACATTTTACTGTTTCCAATTTGGTTATTATAAAATAAAATATTAATATATAGTTACATCAAGCCTTTAAAGTAAATGACAATTTTTACCACACAACTAAATATTAAATAAGGTTTATGATATCTTTATGCATCTGAGAAATGCGATAGAATAAAGAAAGACAGTAAAGTAAAGCAATCTGCGATGATTGTCTTGGAAAAAAGCAATACTAATTTTTAAAACTCTTTTAAGTTCATTTTTGGTTATATTTCAAATTTGCTCATGATTACCCAAGACAGTGGCTCATTTATTTCATTTTAATTTAACCATGTATCATTTTTTTTCAGGGGTCAAATGATCTCCAATGATGTTTACCTGTTTATTGAAAAGTTTGACCATGCTAAACAAGAAGAAAGAACTGCCATGATCAATTCCAACCCGACATTGGTTAGTAGCCATGGCTGCAATAGCAAGTTATTATTCAACTGTATTACCTTTACATGAAATTTGATTGTTTTATTGAACTAATAGTACAAATTTTTTCTCTTAGTTTGTGAAAGTGTTCCGTCATTTAATGGAGGATATTTCTCGAGACCAGACACTTCAGTATGTCTTGACCATGCTGGACGATGTTCTCCAGGTATGATAATTATTACATACAATACAATTCAGACACATATAGAACCTTTAGGTACTGTTAGGCTATATTCTATCTTTAAATAATTCAAAACTTTAATGTAACCTCATTGGTTAACTGATATTTAATTTTTAAAAATTAAATTTTGTTTAGGCTGACAAAGCTAAGGTGGAGATATTTAAAGACTTTGCTCGCAAAAATAAGGAGAATGTTTGGCAGCCATTTTTCCATCTGTTGGACAGGGATGACAAGTTTATTGTGTATCAGGTTAGTATGATATTATTTAATGTGTTACACTAGACATAAAAGACAATTTCGACTTCCAGTAAAGCCAGGCAAAAGACAATGCATATTTCAACCACTGCATGTTTTTAAAACGAATTATTTAAAAATATTCTTGTATGATACAAAAATAAAAGCATATTATTTTTTTACTTTAGTTACTTTATATATAAAGCCTGATTCAATAGCAGAGCCATTTTAATATGTTTAATTTCACTATTTATATTGCCTGTAATTTCATATAAGAAATTCACAGCTTTAAAAAAATCTTAGAAAATGAACCGTCAGAACAATAAGAAAACATGATAAATAAAACTTCTGTTACTCTGCGTAAATTAAAGTACATTGTTATGGCAGATATAGACACATCGGACTGAACAACTAAAGAAAATTCTCTGGTGATAGTAGGTGCATAGAATTGTATAGGATTGATGTGATTCTTTGTCATCATTGTTCAATGAGTTGGTGTGTTATTTAATGTGTCACCGCAATGTCAAAATCTTGGTTTATTCTCCATCTCAACAATGCCCTTGTATTTGAACTGATTAACTGTATTTATTTTGTAAAAATTGAAACTGCTGTTTCTAAAAACAATATTATCAGTACAGTATTTTCTGTTTGGGTAAGCATTGCTCTTTAGCCAAGCAGAGGAGAAGAACAGGTTGAAGAATTGAGCATTTCTCTCCCCCAATCTTACCAGCTGCTAGCTCTTTTCCCTCTAAGCTGTGTGACCACTCAGTAGTTTTGAATGAGCCATGCAGTCCTTTTGTCAAATATATATATAATATATACACCATTGTATAAGACATTTAGAATAACGTGCACACATTACACTGTGCACATTAGCTTTTTTAACTTAGAGGAAACGTTAGCTGCTAGCTCCTAGAATTTATTTCCCCCACTTTGCATTATAAAAGCTTGTTGATACATGAGGGCCAGTTTGGTCAGTGGATGGGCTTGGGTTTCTCAACTTGTGGCTTAAAGATGAACAATGAAGACCATGCCATCCACCTAAGCACTGAAACCTTTACTTCAATTGTATTACTCTAGCCTGGTGGAAGTAACATTTACAGTGCAGAGATTTTTTAACAGATTCAGATTGTATCCTAATGCTTGGATAGGTAAACTTTTGGTTTAAAATTTTTTTGACCATTATAATTTACTTTCACAATCTCTCTATCTCCAGGCTAGTCGTATCATTGCCAAAATTGCGTGCTGGTCTAAGGATCAAATGGAAAGAAAATTCCTACAGAGTTACCTTGTTTGGCTCAAAGATCAAATTAAAATGCCTGTAAGTAATTTTTGCTATTATTTCTCTCTTTTGCTGCTTAAGTTTAAACCAAACAAATTAAGTCATAGCAGCATTAGCTGTATTTTGTTTAAATGCCTACAAATATTTTTGTAGACAAATTTTAGAAATATTTTTCTATTGAGGAGGATCTACATGTTATTTCCCAATTAAAATTTTTTTTCTGTCAATATGTAATCAACTTAGTTTATTATATAAAATCAGATAAACTTTCACTTATTAGTCTAAAGAACTAAAATTAACATTGCTCTGTGCTTTCATGTTTATTTGCTATCACATATTAACAAAAACTTACATTAAAATATTGTTTGATTTTTTCTTGACAGAACAATTACTTGCTGTTGTCTTCTATCACATATTAACCAACAATTTTATTTAAAATATTGTTTGATATTTTTCTTGACAGAACAATGAGTACTTGCTGTCTGCTGGCCGCTCCCTTCAGATGATGCTTAGAATAAACAACTACAGAATTGTATTTTATGAGGTTGATGGTGTATCAGCGTGAGTGTCATAATACATTTTTCTATTTTTTTACTTGATGAGCAGTTGAGGCAACACAGATTTAAGTTTCAAAATAATAATCCATTTCAGTTTAATTTATATAAAATAAGCCACGAAGCTGTCAATTATTTTGAAGATCTATTTCAGCTTATTAAACATATGACTAGTTTTTTAGAATTTTATTGCATTTAGTCTTTAGTCTTTATATTCATAAAGTAAAATTGTTTAAAAATATTTAGTTGAGTTAGAAGCTCTCTCATATTCTTTACTTATTATGTGAACAAAATTGTTAAATTCTAATATTTATTTAATAGTATTGTTTTAAAGAAAAAAATCATATTTTGTCTTGTCACGATTGTTGATACACCTTGAGACAAGTACATTGCTAGATAGTTGTCAAACTTTTTTTAAAAATATGAAGTAAAATCGAATATTTTTTTGTATTTCTCATAGCCAGCTAATAATAAGACAAAATATATATAAAGGTACAAGAAATATAATGTTGCATTACCATTGATAAAAAACTTGCGATTAAAAAAAATTAGTGCAAGCCTGCAGTTAGTACTTAAGACTGAGATTTATTTATAAAAACAATAAAGCTCATTAACTTAATATAATTAATAATCTCTTGAATGTTTATTATGTTCCAGAATCATCCAAGTCCTGGCCAACAAGCCAAGCTTCCAAGTTCAGTACCAGCTGGTCTTCTGTCTCTGGTGTCTGTCACATAACTCAACTCTGGCAGAAAAAATGAACAGGTTCAATTCATATCTAAACTTGTATACATAGCGTGGCTAAACTTGTATACATAGCATGTTACACTGATACATGATTTAGAAAATCTTTAGCATTTTTTTATTTATTAATCTAATTGACATCTTTTATGTAGTCTGGTTAATTTGTAATTGATTGCAATTTATTAATAAATTAATTATTTGTGCTTCCCTTATTTCCTCTCTTGTAGTGGTAACATTATCCCCACCTTGGCTGATGTTCTAAGTGATGCTGTCAAGGAAAAAGTGACCAGAATTGTTCTGGCAACTTTCAGAGTAAGTTGCAAAGTTTTTTTTCTATGGAATTGCCTTCACATTAATTAATAGTTAACATCAGTATTATTTGTTCAGCATAGTTTGATGTTTGATTCATTTAGAATACAGATAACAAAATTTATGGTGTGATCCACTGTACAAATAAAAAATGATTCAAACGAATATGAAATCCCTGTATCAATAAAATTACATAAATTATGTGCAATAAATAACTTCTGTTCATATTTTAGAAATTAAAGTATTTTAATTTAATTATATTTAAAAACTAGTTCATATCTAATGCTTTAGCTGTTTGAAATTGTTGAATTAACTAGGCAGTAATTATTTATTTAAATTTAAAATAGCTAATAGAACTCATTAATTATTAATTAAAACTTTTTGTTCAGAACCTGATTGAAAATGTGGAAGAAGAAAGTGTTCGCCAGGAACACGCCTTGTCTATGGTACAGTGTAAGGTAACGGCTGGCACAGTGAAAATTATATTAGAAAAAGATTGCACTGATTTTCTAAATCATGATTTTCTTCATATTAGTATTATATTTCTTTATATTTCCATTATGGTGAAACTCCTTTGACTTTGGTTTTTCTTAAACAAAAATACTTGTATTCTTAAAACAAAAAAATTAAACATAGGTTGTTTTAATGTTAGATTATTAAATTTTTTTAGTTAAGTATCAATCTCTAAATTAACAGTTAAATGTCAATTTATAAAAAACATAGTCAGGTTTCTGAAGTTGGCTATGCATTGAGAAATTTTTTTTTTGCAGGTACTAAAACATCTAGAACTTTTAGATGGCCGCCAACACCAGGATGAAGATGTGATTGCTGACTTGAAGTATTTGATTGAGAAGTTGAATGAGTCTGTGCGCAACTTGAGGTCAGTTACGTTAGCTTGTACACATTTTCTTTACTGTTTTCATAGTAGACATCCCATAGTTTCAGTTATTTGAATAAAATTCACCATTGAAGCTGCTTTGAATTTTGAATAAAATATATTGCCAGGATTTTTATTGATAAAGGAGAACAATCATAGGCAGGCAGAGAAGACAAGTTTTCTTTTTCCCCATTAAAGAGCATAAGTCGCATGATGCTGGTGGATGCAGAATACATGACAATCTTTAAAAAAAATCTATTTAAGCAAAAGTTATTATAAACTTTTATGCTAGTATAATCTGATTTGAAAATGTATAATAAAAATCCAAATATAAGAAAAGGGCACATTCAGATATAGGCAAATAGAGGCATTGTTTGTTGATAAATTATTAGCCTTGATTTTTATCTTATGTCACCTGCGCTTACAAAATTGTCACTGTTAGAAAACCGTAAGGTATTTAGGAGCTTTATTCAAGAAATATATTTTTTATTCATAGAGTTAAACTTGAAATAATTTTTTTCCCCTAAAAAAGTTTTTTTGCTATGCTTTTATTGTAAAATTTAACCATGAGATTTACATAACTTAACCTTTTTTGTTTTGAATGATTCATTATCATTTGTTTTAAATTGACTATTGAAAAATACAATTCTCAGCTATTAGAACTTATATTGATATGATATTTTCTTCAGCTCTTTGGATGAGTATGTCACAGAAGTCAAATCTGGTAGGCTAGAGTGGAGCCCAGTCCACCGATCAGATCGCTTTTGGCATGAAAATGCAGCACAGCTAAACGAAAACAATTATGAGTTGCTCAAGTAATTATTCAGTCCTTTTTTTTTAATTTCACAGCTTATTTAGATGAAGACAGAAGAGGAGTTCATGAGTGCTCATGCAACTGTTATATGCAAATTATTGTTAAATTATTTCAGGATTCTTGTACGCTTACTAGACACCAGCAAAGATCCTTTAGTGCTGTCAGTGGCGGCACATGATATTGGAGAGTATGTTCGTCATTATCCTCGTGGGAAAAAGTAAGTATTTGTATGAGAAAGCAAGCATTAAAATGAAAAAGGATTTTAAAAAACTTAAAATTATTAGCGAGTAAGATACATTTTATTAATTTATTAAAATTATTTTATTAAAACATCAACCTTAAAGTAATTATTTTGACTTTATTACGAGTGAATCAAAAAATAATTTAGCTGTGTGTACACATTTTTGCATTATATTCAAATATTGTTTTAGATAATATTTTTGTATCACAATAGTCTCACCATCTTTTGACAAAGTGTGATTTTAATTTTAGTTATTTTTAGAGAGAGGCCGGTAAGGCCGAAGGATTTATCTCCTTCTGTTCAGTGAAATTGAAAACACTTTATTTATATTCTGTCAGTGTGGTTGAGCAGCTTGGGGGGAAACAACTGGTTATGCAGTACATGATGCACACAGATCCCAATGTCAAATATGAGGCTTTGATTGCAGTCCAAAAACTTATGGTCCATAATTGGTAAGCTATTTTACAGCTATTATGTTATACAAATTAAAGTGCAATGAACAGTTTTGTATATATATTTAGGTTTATTTTAAACTTAATTTCTCTGAATAATATAGTTCTGAAATATTGTTTCCTGTTTTGATTTCACTCATTTAATTTTAAAAATCAATTAGGCAATGGTAATCATAAGAGTATGAACATGAATAGGGATAAATAGCTGTGTATATAAGATATGCATTAATTCAATAATAGCATATCAATCAAAAAGTAAAAAGAGTGGCCCAAATTTTAAACAAACAGTACAGGTTCTCCTATATTACAATTATATCTTCATGGCACAAAAAGTATTTTGTTTCCTTATTGATATATCTTAAAAATACCTCTGAAGTCTTGAACTAGAAAAATGTGTTCTAATTTTATACCAACATTGTTTACATGTGCTAGGGAAAAAATAAAAATAAGTTTTCTTGAAACATGATATACAATTTAAATTTATAGGCCCTATAACTTTTAATAAAAGCATATTAAAACTTTTATTAAAAGCATATTCATTTAAAAGTAATACTGGCTGCTAAGTGCATACTCTTATCATAATATTATTTTTTATATTAATGTCTATATATTTATATACAGAGGGAAGTATAGAAATGTCACTAAATTATATTACTACTATTTATTATATTACTTATGCTAGTAAATGTAAAGAATAGAATTCACTGTGCCATCATCTGTTTGTGGAATTTTCATTAAAAAATAAAATAAATTTAATGTTACTTATTCTCGCCTCTAAAGGGAATACATTGGAAAGACAGTGGACATGAAACAGCCAGGTTTTGCTGCAGGTCCTCGACGAGCCTAAGCTGTAGGCCCGATGTGATACTCACCACCTGCCGAAGCTGTCAGACTTTGGCCCTGTCACTCTATGATCTTTTCATTCCTATGTGATAGAAACCTAGAATGTAACCATCTGTGTTTGCTGTTTCATCCTGTCTAATTATGCAAGAAACATTAGATTTTAATTAATTATTTATTAAAATTATTTTATTTTTTTGCAATATATTATTTAGATTTATATGTATAATAATATACATCATAAGTCAGATATTCATTACATTTTATTTAATTAGTCGTTTTTCCAGTTAAGCTCAAAACCATTTCTTCCCTAGTTCATTTATATAATTTATAGCAAGCAATTTTAGGCATTTATTTAATTAATTTAAAAAATATAGATATATATGTATAATATATATTAATATAAATTATGGTGTCATTTATGATACATCATTCTCAAAACCCTTGTTCTTTAAGAAAAACCCCCTCAATAGTTTCTAGTTTATGACTTAACAAAAGTATTTAATAAAATTGCTTCTATAAACTGAACTAAAAATTTCATTAAAAAATATGAAGAAACTGTAAATGATTGTTTAAATTTTAAACAGATGTTCACTCGTTTTAAGAACCTATTTAAAAAAAAAATGAAGTTAGTTGGAAATCAAATAACAAAATTGAATTTAAATTTGAATTGCTTTTTAACAAAATTTACTTTGATTTAAAACAAAAACTTATAGAAATATATATTAAAAAACATTCAGCCCTTACGACAGTGAACTAGATACATTGCTATCATATTTCATCTCTTGTGGTGAGATTTGAGGGACCAAAATTTCCAGTGTGCAAACCATGACTATTTCATGTATTGATTCACTTTGGTTTTAACAAACTAATTTTTGTTACACATGTTCTTTTTCTGTGTCTATATAGTAGAAAGAAAATTTCAGAAATTTTAAAATTAAGTACTGTATTAAAAACTTGATTTTGTTGTAGTTCTTGTCGTAGCATATAAGCAAATCTAAATTTATTAAAAATCTGGCATGTTCATTACCAGATAAATGTTTTGATTGTGATGGTGTAAAACCCAACTTTAAATATTTTTTTGGGTATATAATAGTTATATGTAAATAAAAGAATTCTTGTAAAAAATGCTTTTTAAAATATTTTGTTGCATATAATTTATGTCAGTACACTGTAAGCGGAGTATAATATTTTTTGTTTTAGCAAATGATAAATGGAAATGTATTATTGGAGTTTTGTTTGTAGTTTTGACAGAATACATGTTGATAAGACTTAAATAAATGTATTTATTATTCAAACTTTGTTTACCTTATAAAAATACAATGTGGATGAATGTTTAAATGACTGTGTTGTAAAATATAAATTAGCATTTACCACTTATATACTGCAAGATATTTGAGGATTAAAGCCTTGAAAAACTTTTTTTTTTCTTACTTATTTTTTGTTGAGTCTGTATAACAGGTTTGGTGTTGATGCCATCTCACAAACTGTTCTAGATTAATGTAGATTAACATAGGTTATTGTATAGGAGGCTAAAATTTGTATAACTAATGTGATGTTTTCAGGACATCTTACAAACTAGACTGATGTCCTGTACAATAAAAGGAAATAAAACTACTGTAAAATATCATTCATTTGTTTATGTTTATTGGGTTGGAATGACAAATAAGTTTGGTTAGAGTCACTAGATAGAACATAAAGTTACTCTCTTAGTCCTGGGGTCCATGGAGAAAGTGAAGTAAATTTCACATTGGCTTATGAAAGATTAGTGTGACCAGTTTTATTCCCAGTCACCGTTACTTTGCCTAACCTGTGTCAGGTAGGTACCTATCAGAGTCGAGAATCATAACTTTTGACTTTGGTAGCGGTCGTGTGCCCTATGGTTCAACAGAGTTTCTTCTACTTCTAAGCATCTATTTGAAAAAAGCCCCCCCCCCCCCGAAAATTTCAAGTGCCCCACTCTCTCTGCCCCCCCCCCCCCCCGGGGAAAAAAGTCTAGAAGAGACACTGCTGTTCAATTTTACAGCATAGAACATCCCAAAGTATCCAGGGTAGCTGATGGAATGACTAATGCTAGTGCTAATAAATAATAATCCCTTCACATGCTGAGGACAAGGTAAGAGATAAATATAATTATCTGTACCTTCAAATGTGAAACTGGTATTTTACTATTTTTAATCGGAGTTTCTTCCAGGCATCTCTCACAAAGAACGTCTACCGACCCCCCCTCCCCCCTCATTCGAAATAGAATTTATATAGAAACTATACATTTACCAGTGTCCGCCTCCCTCCTCCCCCCGGAAATTTTAGTCCGCCCTTCTCCCCGGAGAAACTTTAGCTTACCCCCACCCCAAAACGCATTTTATTTAATGTTCAAAAATGCGATATCTTTCTAAAATATTAAATCATTAATAAGTATAATCCTCCATTGATCAACCTTTGTACCATTTTACAAACAAATTAGAAATAGCGCTAAGTCAAAATCCCTCGGTTCCTCCCCACACCCCTTGTATTGTAGGCCTACTAGCCGCTAGCTCTAGACCAGTGGTTCTTAAGCTATTGGATGTACCGAACCTCCAAGTTTCAAAGGCGCATTCACCGAACCCTTTTTTATACTTATTACTTTAGTTCTATCATCCGCACTGACAAAATCCAATCAGAAATCAAGTGAGTCGGGTGTATGTCTTGACAGCAGCCGAACCCATGAGATCAACTCTTTGAACCCTTGGGGTTCGACCGAACTCAGGTTAAGAACCTTTGCTCTAGGTTAAGTTAAAAAAAAAAGAAAAAAAAAACACCGCAGGGTATTAAACCGGCAAACAGTGTTTCTTCCAGACTTTTTTCTCCGGGGGGGGGGGGCACTTGAAATCTTCGGGGGGGGGGGGGGCGGTAAACTTTCTTCGGGGGGGGGGCGGACACTGTTAAAAGTATATATTTTCTATATAAATTATATAAATTTCATTTCGTTCGGGGGGGGGGGGGCGGTACAAAATTTTCGGGGGGGGGGGGGGGGCTTCGCCCCCCCGAAGAGATGCCTGGAAGAAACTCTGCCGGCAAATCGTTGTAAAATTAAGCATGCAAGTGTAATTAAAATTAGGTCAAAGGTTTAATTGAAATATTATCCAGACGACAAGATCTAGATCTATATTTCAGCAGAACTTTTCTTTAGTAGATATAGATCTAGATCTATTAATTAATTAACCATCAATGAACAGCGCGGGTATGAGAAAGAAAAACATTGTAAAACGCAACCCCCCTTTCAGCATTTTCAACCAATTAGAAATCAGCAAATACCCAGTGCGGAACTTGACGTTTCAATAACAAGATGCGAGGATAAACTGTGTCTGCATGGAGTGTTGGAAAGTGAAGGAACGTTCCGATTTTTAACAGTGACGTGATAAATTGTTATCAACATTTTTGAACTGTTGGAATTTTTTCAGGAATATGGGAATACTCTTTAACTAGGGTAAGTTAAACATTATTGATAATTGCTTATTTCATACCGTTATTTATTATTTTAGGTTTTTAATAGACTGATGAACCCGCCCATTTATTGATCGTGGCAAGGAGAAAGAAAAAAAAATTGTATGAAGAAATGCGACTGATCTATCGGCATTCAAACAAGAAGATTTATAGTTTTATAATTTGCGCTGTTAATATGTATGAGCAAAAATAATGTGAATACATATTTTCAGCTGAGTAACACTATTCTAGAAAATCTTTTACATAGGCTTAATTTTTATCTTTTTTGCGCAGACGTTCACCTAATTTCATTGTTCTGTTCAGATCTGGGTCAAAAATAACTCGATCAGCTGTTTTCCATCTCCTTTACACAGGTTCTAGAAATCTAGATCTAGGTCTAGACTAGATAAGAAGTAACTATTGTAGTAGACCTACAGTAGTCTATAGTCTATAGGCCTAGAGCCTTTTTGTACCCAATGTGAAATTTCCCTAACTTACTAAAGTTGCATTTAATCTAGATTCTAGATGACAATAAATTATGTGCATAATCAGATTTAGAGCTGATGAATGGAAACTAAATTTGACATCGTTGTGATCTTCTTGGTGAGTAATAATAACTGAGGCATTAATCACTGAATAAGTAATGAGTAGGCCTTTATTTTATTACAGATGGATCTAGGTCTACATGGTAATAGTAAAAAACTATGCATTATTACATTCCTATAATTTAAATTTAAGTGCTGGACAAAAAAGGTACTAGATCTATAACTAATCTACCTACTTTTTAACTAAATACTCACAGGCCTCCTTAATCACTATTAAAATTTGTGTTATTTGCACCTATGATGAGTAAAATATTTATAACAATGGCATTATTAGACTGAACTTGACTTTTGTTTGTTCTTTAGGCTTATGTTTAATTTTTCATGGGCCTAGTTCTAGTATTTGCGGTTTGGTTTTTTTTTTTTACCAATAAGGCCTACAGTTTTCTTTATGTTAAGCAACATTCTTTGCTTTATCTCCATCTTAAGTAAAGATTCCTCTTCAGACCTAGTGATACATTGGGCAGATGAAGTAGAGCTCATATGTTTCTTGACCATGGCATATGAAGGGATACTGTGGTCAGCACTATGCCTAGCTGCCTTTACTTTCTTTAACATGAGTTAGTATACCCATCAGTGCTAGGTGGACTCAGGGATGTTCCACTGACTTGAACCCTGATTAGAACTCGACTTTCAGATTAACTAACATTCTAGTGCTCAACTGTTAGGCCATGCTGTCCCTCTAATCTCCATCTTAAGCAGGTTTATTTATTTCAGTAATATAGACTGTTTAGGTGTGATACACAGTATCTCTTTAGTGTACTATGAAATAAAATGACTTTTGACATTGTTAGCTTTTTGAGAGGACAGTGTGGTTAGAAAGTAGAACATACAACTGCTAACCAAAAAGTTTTGAGTTTGTGTCAACAGAACTTGCCTGAGCCTACCTGAGATGGGTATCTGACTGATGTTCGGTAAAGTAAAGGTGGCTGGGCATAGAGTGTTGACCACTTTTTCTTTCCTATGCATAGACCACTGAAACAGGTGAACTCTACTTCACCTGCACCATGTATGTTCAGGTCCAAAAGGGTCCTTTACTTACTTGGCTTTATTTTACTAACTTGGCTTTATATGTTGACCACTTGGTACCCTTTTCAGATCTGATGGGCAATATGGAATGTGTGTAGTAAACTTGTTTGTGTGACTTAATGGTCATCCAGTGGACTCAGGCTTGTGTTCACAAGCCAATTCTTTCTGGTTGGAAGTCATGACCTTTATTGTTCTACCATGTTTACATTACCTTTACTCCAATTCTTTATATTGTTCAGATTGTATGCAACCTCACAAACCACTAAACCTTACAATGCAGAGTGTATCTCAGCTATAGAGCAGTGCATTGTCTTATAATAGACAACATATTTATTTTCTAGACCTATACACCATTGTGTAGAAGAATACATTTTAAATTCTTTTTATATTATTTCCTCTCAGGGATAACTTTAAAACCTGTTTGTTGTCCTCACAGTTTGTAAGGAATTAAATATCTATATATATAAAGCAAAGTGGTCGGGTGCCCGATAGGGCACTTCCCGGCGCCGCAGGCGCGTCAAATTTGGCACGAAGGTGCCTTATGGCGATAGAACACGAGGGCCGGTGACGGTTCGGCAAAAAGTCTACGGAGCGGGGGTCAAAACTGACCTCGACTGACCGGCGCCTTATATGGGCTATATTACGAAAAAAAAATTCCTCCGACGACCCCCCTTGATATTTTGTGAGGTAGTAGAAGAACACCTTGGGGTGTCACAAAAAACTCGCCATGTCCGGGAAAAATCGGGAAATGGGTCAAAACTGACCAGTTGTATTTCCCTATATAATCTTTGTATTTTATGGCGAAAACAGAGGGTCATTTCAAAACGGATTTTATGGCACTTACGCTCTTTACATCTGGCTCAGTTTTGGCATGCTTATAGGTAAATGGCTTGACCTTTAGGGAAATCTGTCGGTTACACTCAAAGCCCTCGACGAGGGCTAAAAAGTGACCGCGAGTGAAATTCTCTTTATATGAGCTCTATTACGAAAAAAAAATTCCTCCGACGACCCCCCTTGATATTTTGTGAGGTGGTAGGAGAACGCCTTGGGGTGTCACAAAAAACTCGCCATGTCCGGGAAAAATCGGGAAATGGGTCAAAACTGACCAGTCGTATTTCCCTATATAATCTTTGTATTTTATGGGGAAAACAGAGGGTCATTTCAAAACGGATTTTATGGCACTTACTCTCATTACATGTGGCTCAGTTTTGGCATGCTTATAGGTAAATGGCTTGACCTTTAGGGAAATCTGTCGGTTACACTCAAAGCACTCGACGAGGGCTAAAAAGTGACCGCGAGTGAAATTCTCTTTATATGAGCTCTATTACGAAAAAAAATTTCCTCCGACGACCCCCCTTGATATTTTGTGAGGTGGTAGGAGAACACCTTGGGGTGTTACAAAAAACTCGGCATATCTGGGAAAACTTCGTAAAGGGGTCAAAACTGACCAGTTGTATTTCCCTATATAATCTTTGTATTTTATGGGAAAAACAGAGGGTCATTTCAACAAAGACTTTAGGGTACTTAAGCTCAGTATATCTGGCTAATTTTTTGCATGCTCCTAGGTCAATGGCTTGACCTTTAGGGAAAACTGTCGGTTACACTCAAAGCCCTCGACGAGGGCTAAAAAGCGACCGCGAGTGAAATTCTCTTTATATGAGCTCTATTACGAAAAAAAAATTCCTCCGACGACCCCCCTTGATATTTTGTGAGGTGGTAGAAGAACACCTAGGGGTGTCACAAAAAACTCGGCATATCTGGGAAAACTTCGTAAAGCGGTCAAAACTGACCAGTTGTATTTCCCTATATAATCTTTGTATTTTATGGGAAAAACAGAGGGTCATTTCAACGCAGACTTTAGGGTACTTAAGCTCAGTATATCTGGCTAATGTTTTGCATGCTCCTAGGTCAATGGCTTGACCTTTAGGGAAAACTGTCGGTTACACTCAAAGCCCTCGACGAGGGCTAAAATGTGACCGCGAGTGAAATTCTCTTTATATGAGCTCTATTACGAAAAAAAATTTCCTCCGACGACCCCCCATGATATTTTGTGAGGTGGTAGAAGAACACCTAGGGGTGTCACAAAAAACTCGGCATATCTGGGAAAACTTCGTAAAGGGGTCAAAACTGACCAGTTGTATTTCCCTATATAATCTTTGTATTTTATGGGAAAAACAGAGGGTCATTTCAACGCAGACTTTAGGGTACTTAAGCTCAGTATATCTGGCTAATTTTTTGCATGCTCCTAGGTCAATGGGTTGTCCTTTAGGGAAAACTGTCGGTTTCACTCAAAGCCCTCGACGAGGGCTAAAAAGTGACCGCGAGTGAAATTCTCATTATATGAGCTTTATTACGAAAAAAAATTTCCTCCGACGACCCCCCTTGATATTTTGTGAGGTGGTAGAAGAACACCTAGGGGTGTCACAAAAAACTCGGCATATCTGGGAAAACTTCGTAAAGCGGTCAAAACTGACCAGTTGTATTTCCCTATATAATCTTTGTATTTTATGGGAAAAACAGAGGGTCATTTCAACGCAGACTTTAGGGTACTTAAGCTCAGTATATCTGGCTAATTTTTTTGCATGCTCCTAGGTCTATGGGTTGACCTTTAGGGAAAACTGTCGGTTTCACTCAAAGCCCTCGACGAGGGCTAAAAAGTGACCGCGAGTGAAATTCTCATTATATGAGCTCTATTACGAAAAAAAATTTCCTCCGACGACCCCCCTTGATATTTTGTGAGGTGGTAGAAGAACACCTAGGGGTGTCACAAAAAACTCGGCATATCTGGGAAAACTTCGTAAAGCGGTCAAAACTGACCAGTTGTATTTCCCTATATAATCTATGTATTTTATGGGAAAAACAGGGAAATTTTAACACAATTTTTAGGTTACTTAATGTCTGTACATCATGCTACGTTTTTGCATACACTACTAAAGATGACTAGGCCGTATGGAAAAACTGTTGGTCAGACTCAAAGCCCTCGACGAGGGCTAAAAGATGATCTTGAGTGAAATTCTCCTTATACGAGATATATATATATATATATAAATAAATTGACGAACGATCCCCTTAATATTATGTGACGTCGTAGACCGACCATGGAGGGTAACAAAAAAACTTTATTCCCGTCATAAACAGCCATTATAGTCGTTAAATATGTTCATATAACGTAATTTCTTATATAAGCAAACAATATAAGTAAACAATGACATACGTCATACGTTCAGTTTTCAAGGGAGGTAACGTTTTTAAAATTATTTTTTTTCAAATAATTGTATACTATTTTAAACAGAAACAGAAAATGACGAAGTATAGCATTTGTTTTAGTACAAAATTAAGTTGTTAATTTAGTTAAGTAACCTAATTAAATAAA